TTCACGTCCAAAATCAAAAAAAAATCCCCAAACCAATTCAAACGGCAACCCCCCGCCAAGCAACCAACCCAAAACCCAAAACCCGGAAAGAACAAAAACCACCCCCCCCCCCAAAAAAATCCCAAAATCAATTCAAGGGGCCTCAAGGTCCAACTTGGGGAAAAGGCCTAACCCCAAAAAAACAAAAACTAACTGGAAACAAAGAAACTGGCAATTCCTCCTTTAATTAACCACAGTTCTTAGGATAGTACCTGACATGTTACAGAAACTCCATAAATATTTGTCAAATGAATAAATCAATAACTATATTTAAAGCATTTTTCCTGTTTACCAAATACCAATATTTTGTACAATATCCCAGACTGGGTTAAGTACAGACAACATTTTCCAAAGTAAATTTCTTTTCCAACTTCAGTTACCACACAAGTTCTGAGGATGAGTTTGAAAAATTATGTGATATGTTGAGGCAGTTGGCAGGGAGGGTCATGGAATAGCCATTGAATAATGTGGATTTTCTTTCCTTTCAGAAGCTCTGTCTTTCTTTGAATAGCTAGTCACTATTCTTTCTGAAGATGATCCTATAAAAGAGAAAATAAAGAAAGGAGACCAGGAAATTGGAAAGGTAGAGATTATATCCAAGGAGGAATAATACAGGAGCATTTGTTCTGGTCAAAAGCACAGTGTGTACTTCTTATTTATAAAATTTACAGATAAGGCTTCCATGGTGGCCAATGCAGGAGATGTGGGTTCGATCCCTAGGTCGGGAAGTTCCCCTGGAGAAGGAAATGGCAATCCATGCCAGTATGCTTGCATGGGAAATCCCATGGATGGAGGAACCTGGTGAACTACAGTCCATGTGGTTGCAAAAGAGACAAGACTTAATGACTTTTAAAACCAACAGAAACAAACAACAGATGAGGTAATTCAAAAGTCCCATTTCAAAATTTTACCAGAGTTTTGTCTAAGCAAAAGAACAAAAAACTTAGACATTTAGCTGTTTGTAGAGTACTTTGAGATCAATTATTATTGTTTAGTTTCTAAGTAGATTCTGACTCTCTTGTGACCCCATGGACTATAGCCTGCTAGACTCCTCTGTCCATGGGATTTCCCAGGCAAAAATACTGGAGTGGGTTGACCAATAATGAAGTGCTATTAAAATTAAAAGTTTAATTAGTGAGACAATGGAGAAAACTACCCAATAATCAGAAAGAAAATGAGAAAGCAGCACTTTTTCTTCCAGTTTTACTGAAATATGACTGACATACAATACTATATAAACATAAGATATATGGTATAATAATCTGATTTACATACATCTTGAATGATTATCACAAGTTTAATGAACTCCCATCGTCTCAGATAGGTAAAAACTTAAAGAACTAGAGAAAAATATTAATAATTATATATTTTTCTTGTGATGAGAACTCTTAGGGTTTAATTTCTTGTGTGTGCATGCTCAGTTGCTTAGTTGTGTCTGACTCTTTGTGATCCCATGGGCAGTAGCCCACCAGGTTCTGCAGTCCATGGAATTCTCCAGGCAAGAATCCTGGAATGGATTGCCACTTCCTGCTCCAGGGATCCTCCCTGACCCAGAGGTCGAATGTGCATCTCTTGAATCTATTGCATTGACAGGTGGATTCTTTACTATTGCACCACCTGGGAAGCCCATTTACTCTCTTAATAACCATCATATATAACATAGAGCAGAATTAATTATAGTTTGGGGGATGACAGCAATTTTTAATGAAGCATTAGTCTCTGCATTTAGAGTACAATGTTAGAGAGATTTTTCATCATGAAATGTTAAAGCAGAAGGTTAACATTGTATACTAGATTAACAGCAAGGGAACAAGTTTAGAAAATCCCTGAAATCAAATGCCATCTACCTGGGAGTTTTCCAAAATAATTTAGAAGAGAAACTGGGGTTATAGTTATTGGTCACTTTGTTTCTTCAACAAGTTATCAAGTGCTATTATATACTAGACAGTATGTCATGTGTGGGTATGCAATTTCTGTCTCTGGAAAGTTTTAATTTGTGGAACTAGAGATAAGCTTAAAATACTAATGGCAAAGCCAATATGATTTTAATGATTGCTAAAGCCCTGATAAAATAATATAGCAAAATTAAGAAGTTGTAGGAAGGATCAATGAGTACATGCCCCTTTGAGAATTTAAAGCGGGTTGCCCAATTAAAAGAAGAAGAATAAAATGACAAGAAATATGCACTCCCCTGGTGGCTCAGATGATAAAGAGTCTTCCTGCAGTGCATGAGACCAAGTTCGATCCCTGGGTCAGGAAGATCCCCTGAAAAAGGAAATGGCAACCCACCCCAGTACTCTTGCTGGGAAAACTCCATGGATGGAGGAGCCTGGTAGGCTACACTCCATGGGGTAGGAAAGAGTTGGACACAACTGACCAGCTTCACTTCAAATATGCACTATTTCCAGATGTAGGGGGTAGTATGTAAAAGGAAATGATTGTTCAAATTTTCTCTATGCTAAAGTTCATTTGAAGTAATATGCATATTGATAGTTATGAGAGGAAAGGTATGTTTGGAAACAGTATGAAAGACAATACAATTATTTTAACTTTATAAATAATTGAAGGCTATTTAGTTTTGTTAATAGGATAGAATTTGCCCTATAAAAACACAACTGTACTGCTATTATGAAGGTGATAAAATGGGAAGAGACAGACTTCTCGGAGTTCATTCAAAATGCTTTTGTAATAATGCAGATTAAGAGTTAATTTCTGGAAAAATGGGGAAAAATGTATCATAGACGTGTTACACACACACACACACACACACACACACACACACACACAAGAAAAAACAGATCCGATGTGGAGGGTGAGAATTTTCATGTGTTTTAATATGCCCCATAAGTATACAGCTTGGATAACTAAGAAGCTTTGAAAACTTCTTATTGAGATATAGAACTCAGACAAAGGGACAGATTTGGGTGATAAGTTGGAAAGGATAAGAATATTCCAAATAAAAACACATAATCTAGTACCAGCAGTAAGAACTGTATCAGCGTCATCAGGGAAAGTATCTGAGCCTCCCTGCTCAAGAATTCAGAGATGGAGCCTGGGAACAACAGTCTGTTGGGTTTCCAAGTCAAGTATATCAAGAATAAGATATATAACCAAGTGGGAAAACAGTGAATGCTGAAAAAAAAAAAACAAAAAAAAACTAATGCTAGAGTTTGTAGCGGAACCATACACTAATCCTAAAACAGTAGCTGTAGTTTTAAGCCAAATTAATTTCAACAAATGACTGCATGGAAATGGAGTGTGTTGTTAGTAATGAAATAGAATTCTGTTTTTTAAGGACAAGCAACAAAAAGACAAATCAATGATTACTGACTGACCTAGATGAAGAAACTAGGTGAAAATCAGGTGGGATGGTAGATCTTCATACATTGGTGGTATCCCTTGTGGAATATATGTATCAGTAATATGGATAAAATTATGACCACTTAAATCAAAATTAATGTAGATAAAAGTTTTTTTGAGGATTAGATTATCAACAAACTAAGCAGAGATTATATAAGTCTACAAGCAGGGACTATATTTCTCAGGCGCCAGAGGAATAGAATTTTTGTGAGCAAATGTCTGTCCATTTCATTTGAACACTTGTCCCCAAATTCTCTGCTAAAATCTTTGGCAGAAAATTAGCAATGTGGTCACATATTAATTTAGGATAAATTTTTCTTAGTTTATTGTAAAATGCTTTATTATTTTATCTTTGTTTCCCCTTTTTCTCTCCCATTCCTGTTGTCTCTCTTTCATACCAGACTGGTGCCTTTATGAAGGTTAAATCTCCCTGATTTCTTAGTTTCAAAGGACTGTGGACTTGATCATATTGACTTTATTCCATGGGATCACCTCTTATGGCCAATTCCTCCTGTGTTACTGAGTTCTTCCTGCTGGGTTTCTCCAGTCTTGGGGAATTGCAACTTATCCTCTTTGTGGTCTTTCTCTGCCTCTATTTGATCATCTTGAGTGGAAACATCACCATCATCTCAGTCATCTGCTTGGATCACAGCCTCCACACACCCATGTACTTCTTTCTATGTGTCCTTTCTACAGAAGAAGGAAATGGCAACCCACCCCAGTACTCTTGCTGGGAAAACTCCATGGATGGAGGAGCCTGGTAGGCTACAGTCCATGGGGTAGGAAAGAGTTGGACACAACTGACCAACTTCACTTCAAATATGCACTATTTCCAGATGTAGGGGGTAGTATGTAAAAGGAAATGGTTGTTCAAATTTTCTCTATACTAAAGTTCATTTGAAGTAATATGCATATTGACAGTTGTGAGAGGAAAGGTATGTTTGGAAACAGTATGAAAGACAATACAATTATTTTAACTTTATAAATAATTGAAGGCTATTTAGTTTTGTTAATAGGATAGAATTTGTCCTATAAAAAGACAACTGTACTGCTATTATGAAGGTGACAAAATGGGAAGAGACAGACTCCTTGGAGTCCATTCAAAATGCTTTTGTAATAATGCAGATTAAGAGTTAATTTCTGGAAAAATGGGGAAAAATGTATCATAGATGTGTTACACACACACACATACACACACACACACACACACAAGAAAAAAAAGATCCGATGTGGAGGGTGAGAATTTTCATGTGTTTTAATATGCCCCATAAGTATACAGCTTGGATGACTAAGAAGCTTTGGAAACTTCTTATTGAGATATAGAACTCAGGCAAAGGAACAGATTTGGGTGATAAGTTGGAAAGGATAAGAATGTTCCAAATAAAAACACATAATCTAGTACCAGCAGTAAGAACTGTATCAGAGTCATCAGGGAGAGTATCTGAGCCTCCCTGCTCAAGAATTCAGAGATGGAGCCTGGGAACAACAGTCTGTTGGGTTTCCAAGTCAAGTATATAAAGAATAAGATATATAACCAAGTGGGAAAACAGTGAATGCTGAAAAAAAAAAAAAAAAAACTAATGCTAGAGTTTGTAGCGGAACCATACACTAATCCTAAAACAGTAGTTGTAGTTTTAAGCCAAATTAACTTCAAAAAATGACTGCATGGAAATGGAGTGTGTTGTTAGTAGTGAAAGAGAATTCTGTTTTTTAAGGACAAGCAACAAAAAGACAAATCAATGATTACTGACTGACCTAGATGAAGAAACTATTAAAATCAGGTGGGATGGTAGATCTTCATACATTGGTGGTATTGCTTGTGGAATATATGTATCAGTAATATGGATAAAATTATGGCCACTTAAATCAAAATTAATGTAGATAAAAGTTTTTTTGAGGATTAGATTATCAACAAACTAAGCAGAGATTATATAAGTCTACAAGCAGGGACTATATTTCTCAGGCGCCAGAGGAATAGAATTTTTGTGAGCAAATGTCTGTCCATTTCATTTGAACACTTGTCCCCAAATTCTCTGCTAAAATCTTTGGCAGAAAATTAGCAATGTGGGCACATATTAATTTAGGATAAATTTTTCTTAGTTTATTGTAAAATGCTTTATTATTTTATCTTTGTTTCCCCTTTTTCTCTCCCATTCCTGTTGTTTCTCTTTCATACCAGACTGGTGCCTTTATGAAGGTTAAATCTCCCTGATTTCTTAGTTTCAAAGAACTGTGGACTTGATCATATTGACTTTACTCCATGGGATCACCTCTCATGGCCAATTCCTCCTGTGTTACTGAATTCTTCCTGCTGGGTTTCTCCAGTCTTGGGGAATTGCAACTTATCCTCTTTGTGGTCTTTCTCTGCCTTTATTTGATCATCTTGAGTGGAAACATCACCATCATCTCAGTCATCTGCTTGGATCACAGCCTCCACACACCCATGTACTTCTTTCTATGTGTCCTTTCTACATCTGAAACTTTCTACACAATTGTCATTCTGCCCAAGATGCTTATCAATCTGCTCTCGGTGCTCAGGACACTGTCCTTTGTGAGTTGTGCTTCACAGATGTACTTCTTTCTTGGTTTTGCTGTCACCAATTGCCTGCTTCTGGGAGTGATGGGCTATGATCGCTATGCTGCCATCTGTCAGCCTTTGCACTACCCCATTCTCATGAGCTGGAGAGTTTGTGGGCAACTGGCAGTGACTTGTATTATCAGTGGTTTCCTAATATCTCTACTGGGAACAACTTTGGTCTTTAGCCTCACTTTCTGTGGCTCCAACAAGGTCAACCATTATTTTTGTGACATTTCACCAGTCATCCGCCTCGCTTATGCTGAAACCTACATTAATGAACTGGTCATCTTCATTGGTGGGGTCTTGGTCCTTGTTGTGCCCTTGATCTTCATCTGCATCTCTTATGGATTTATCACCTCTGCTATCCTGAAGATCTCATCAGCTGAAGGCAAGGGAAAAGCATTCTCCACCTGTGCCTCCCATCTCATTGTGGTCATTGTCCACTACGGCTGTGCTTCTTTTGTCTACCTGCGACCCTCAGCCAAATATACATCAGGAAAAGACAGGCTGGTGACGGTAACCTATACAGTCATCACCCCACTGTTGAACCCTATGGTATATAGCCTCAGGAACAAAGATGTACAGCTGGCTATTAGGAAAATGATTGAGAAGGCTAGGTTAAGATTTTATAATTCTGTTAAGACTTTATAATTAATTTCTTTTTCAATAGTACACACACATTTGGATCAAACATATCACTAATGTTTAAGTCATGAAAGTTTCTAGTCTATTCATCTGTATAACTCTGTGGCCTTGGATGAGTTTTTTTGACATTGTGAGGCTGTAGTGTTCCTATGTAAAACAGACAGTAGTATGTTCATCTCAAGGCTTTTGCCAAATTAAGGGCAAAGTTTCCTTGTCAAGGCAACTATCACTAAAAGACAACTCCGCTGCTCCTACTCTTCCTCCTGAGACAGTTCTCAAAAGGATCTTAACAGCCATTATCTCTTACCCTATGTTTGGCTTGCGAGCCACAAATCTCTGATTGTCTCCTTTGTTTAAGATTATGCCCAGCTGAAAATGAGTTTCTGAGGCCTGAATATAGTGTGGATATAGGAGGAACACATGATGGGGGGAAAAGCTACTGTACTAGTAATTAGAAAATTATTTAGGTCATGACTTTAAGAAAACTACGGTTGTTCCCCAAATCTAAACTTAATATATAGAATATAGAGATAATATAATTTTCCTTTTATACTTTGCAAGGTTTTTGTTTGTATCTAATGGATAAGATGAAAGTAAGCATAAGTAAAATGCAAAGCTGGATAGAACTTAAGACTCTTAGGACTTAAGAGTCAGTCTAAGACTTTAAGTCTTAAGACTCTTAAGACTTAAAATCAATTTAAGACTTTACACATCTCTGCATGACCTTCTATTTCTTTCAGATTCTCCAAAAATTATATTTCCAAGTGTCATTTCTGACCAGTCATTTGAACTACTCCTTATATAACAGGGAATGTGCTACATCAAAAACACATCTACATGTGAAACAACTCCTTCAGAACACCTTATGAAAGTTGGCAGAAGACCCCAGACTTCCAAAAAGACAAACTAATCTCCACAGAATGAAATAGGGCAAAATATATAAGAAAATAAAGAGACAAAGGATTTGGAACAAGCACCTGTGCCTCGGAGAGGGCTCCACGAAGGAGGAAAGTTTCCTCACACTTGGAAACCCTCTCATGGGTGGGGAAAGGGGAAGCTCTGGAACCTCTGAGGAGAATATAG